CTTACGGAGGGCAATCTGCTTTACTCAAAATCTATTGAGTATAAATGTTAATTATATCTAAAAAGATATTCTTGTCAGCAACAGCTAGACTGTTTTTTTTTTTTTAACCAAACAATGGGGTACCTTGGCCTGGCCAAGTTGACGTGTCAAATTAACCATGACAAACATCCACAGAGATCTCTCTTGTCTTTCTTTAATCCTTTCTCCATGTAGCAGAGAGATTGTATGAAAATCCAAGTCTCTCCCCCGTTTTTATGAATGGCTTCCCCCTATACTCCAAGTAAAAATCACAGGCTTCCAGTTACAATGCACCTTTGGGACCCTCTCTTCATTTTTGACCTCAGCTCCAAAAACTCTGCCTTTCACTCTCATGTCCTCCAAACCTGTCAAAGATTATTCGCCTTGGGGTTTTACTCTTTTCTTATAAACTGCTATGAGTCACCTCCTCATTTCCTCCAGGTTTCTGCTCAAATGCCACTTCCTTTAAGAGATCATTCCTGATCATACTACTTCAGAGAGCTGAGAGCTTCCCTCGTGACTCCTAATTCCCCCCCCCTCTCTCTCACACACACACACACACACACACACACACACACACACACACCATTTCTGGAGTCTTTCTACTAGAATGCAAGTTCCATTAAAGTTAGAAATTCGCCTACTTTATTCTCCTAAAACAATACCTGGCCCATAATTTGTGTTTGACAAATACTTGATGAAGTGAGTAAATGAATATGATTCAAAGATCTCTTCCACCAACAATTAAATGTTTCCTCTTGGACACTTTCCCACTTTTCCGAGCCACAGTCACTTCACCCAGCATCTTCCTGGCACGTGGTATGTGTTCAAAAAGCATTTTCTCTCTCTCTCTTTTTTTTTAAATTTTCATAGCTGTGAAATCTTTTCCAGAAATCCACCCTTTGTGTGTCCTGGTATATAGAAACCTCCAGAGCATTCAATAATTGGAATCAACAAATATTTACTGCTGGTTCATTGCTAGACACCAGTCTCGGCATAAAGGATGAAGTTATTAACAAGAACAATGAAGCTACTGCCCACAGAGCAGTATGGTGACTGGGACAGGGACAGGGAATGGAGGTGGTGAGAAGGACTGGGAGTTTAGAGGCTCTGAGGTCAGAGCCCACAGGATTTTCTGTGCTCTTGGATATAAAAGGCCGAATGAAGAAAG